GTGCGCATCATTTCCTTCTTTTTCAACGAATTTTCTCCAACGACTTTCGTTTTTGTCTTGCAAATATCACGTTCTTCTTGTTTATCTATACCCAATTGCATCTAAACTGTCATGCTAATCCTCTGTGAAATACTATTCTATAGAAGTCCTTTTGGGAGCGTACTCAAGTAGAAACTCGTTGTTAGACTGTGCGAAGTTCTGGATGAGCTTGATGCAGAGATGAGATCACAGAGTAAAAGCTGAGATATCGTATTCCGCGTTGGCAATGAACTTATTGTTTTAGCCGAAGTTCTAAAAAAGTTCATATAATCAATATTTTTTCGATAGTGATGAAACGAAGGAAGGAAAACTCTGTCATCGTTATCAGATCACTGTGATGGTTTAACATAGCAAACGAAAAGTTCTCTTTTAAACTGTTCCTTCACAGATGGTGTCCATGTTAGGATAAGAGGTTAAAGTTTTTGGCGTTGATCAATACCGTCTGAGGGATGCGTCCCCGCACTCGACTNCTATTCAGAATCGTAGTGCCGTAATGAGTGCGTATGTGGCCAATACAATGACTTGCGGTGGCCAGCCGATGTACAAGTCAGTAATTTTATCCTCCCAGATGAGTAACCGACCCCACAGGGATGGAAGGCTTGCTTGGCCTAGGCGGATATCAATCCGAGATTCGAACTCCTGACCATGCGTGTGAGATAGTGCGCCACTTGACACTACACCATCTCCGCCCTGAATTCTTCCAATGTGAAGCGTAAAGCCAATCTGCAAGAAATTAGGAAGCGCTGTGTATGGCTTTCTACTTCAGTGTTGACCTCGAAATTTAACAATTTCTGAAGCATGTAAAGCGCTTATTCTAAGTCTCCTACTTGTTTTTCATTTTGTTGGATGTCAATGTTGACAGTTTGCAAAGTCACGTCCAGTTTTCATCCCAAAACAAGGCGAAGAAGAACCAGTTTTGCGTGATGAATGGGATAATTGGTCGGAGCGAATCATACATATCTCTGACGGGGACTCACCTTCGCTTTTGAAACCTTTGCGCTGGAGAATCTGCATAGCCTGGCTAGAAGGAATTCGAAAGCGCAGTAGAAGTGGTAAAAGGTGTTGCCCTAGTGTGATCTACATATATACCCCACAGCCCACCACATTCACCGTGTAATTTGTATGTGGAATCACAAAAAGTGAATGATGGAGTACTTTTGGTGAACCTTTTACACGTTTTGTATGCAAGCTCTGCTAGGCTGACGTTTTGGCAGAATCGCCTTCGTCAGAGCCAGGAATAATCGGAAGCAATTCGCCCCCGCGGCCGAAATTTGGGACTCAGCAACGCACGCACGTAATCCTAGAAAGAGTCACTCGTAGTAGCTTAAGGGAATTCTTGAAACCAGCTAGCAACGGGTGGGTGAAGTTCTCCCCAAAATCCTACGGCCAGCGGCAGTAGTTCCGCGGCTACTGTCGTATCCTTCCACTGGAAATTCAAAACCTTTCCCTCCATAGCGCGCGATCGAGTGCGGTGAGGGCGACACGCCGTTCGGAGAGAAGATAACACACCCGCTAGGAATCGATAGTAAGACAACCGACAGATAAAGATGGTCCTTATTTAAGATTACTGTAGAAGGACCAGGCGTCCTGTAAGGCGTCAGCTCCCTCCTTTCAGGGAAACACTCTTTTTCCCGGCTCATTTTTGGATCGGTGGCCTGTATCCACTGTGCGTCGAGGGTGTTGCTCTTGTACGCTTACACTTGTTAGAGCGTTTACGCAATAAGTTCACTAGGATCTCAGGAAGCTTCGGTTATCTTTGCATTCAGGTGGGTCTTCAAAGCAATAGATTCTTTCAGTCGATCTGTGCTACCCAATAGTAAGCACTATTCAATATACCCATGGAGTGGTCTCGCCGTTTCCCCGATCCCCACAATTCACCTGCCGATTCACCCATCCGCACAATTATGGAGAGTGATTTTGTGGACCATTCCAGCCAATTCGCAATCACCTTTCCTGAACACACAGTTTAAGGCGTAGGACAGGCGATCGCATAACCGGTGCCAGACCACGCCACGTATTGCTTGGAATGGGAAGGTGGACGTTGACAACCGAGTTTCTGTCCATTAAACTTTCCTGGTTCGAACTCTTCTAGCCACCTTCTAATCGCTAACTCCACCAGACATGAAAAGGCACAAAACGATGGCTTTTTTCGCCGATCAGGGCATCACTTATTCGCCTACCAGAAGAACTTGGTGAACGTTCAAAAAATTGCAGTAGCCATTTACGAGTGTTATCGCTATTTACAGCGATTCTTTCCTTGACCCTTCAGTTCCTCTCCACAGGTGCGAGACTTCTTACTAACAGCGGCACGCTCCAACTGAGAATGAGCGGTGCGACAATGTACAATACCATCAAGCAACTATTGATATACACGCAATGGATTATGGACAGTTGTTGCAGTAGAAGCACTTCTACCGTGGCCAATGAAGCTGTTGGGGTCAGATGTGCGCCTAGATATATCTGTGGCTTTGTACAGAATCGAATGCTCACCCATCCTGCAAGGAATAATTCTTGTAGATAATAGTAATCGTCTTATATTTTACGCCACACTCCCCGCAAACGCAGGTACTACCATGTACTTGTTCGGGGCTACCCTATACTTATGATCATAAAGGGAATCACGTATTATTGCTCCTAATTCTCACCTCATAGCACCTCGTGTGAGGTGGGAGGGGTGTGGTGCAGTAGGAACGAAATTGTCGTGTCGCAGCGAGAGGGACGCCTCGCGCGAAGAAATGTAGCAGAATGCAGCAGCAAGTAAGAAGTACAGGAACATAAGTAATAACAGTAGAATCATGCTTAAAGTAATGGCGCATAGCGATTGAACTGTATGAAGAACACTAGAACTGTTATAACGAGGCGAATGGTCCGCGACAGCCGCGTGCGGCGGATCGATTACACGAAGCTGTTACTTCTGCCCGTCTCTCGTCAGAAGGACTTGGAGGAATTTCTGTATCGGTCAATGGAGTCTGGAATCGGTCGTGGTGGAATCTGTTCTGTAGTGGGGTTCATTGGCAACATAGATCTTACTTACTACATATGAACATAACCATTCCAGGTAGTTTCTCTACTGCAGAAGGGCTTAGTAGTAAGCGCTTAATCACATGGCACTAGCCGATATTGATCATCATTGATTGATCCGAATTATTAATTAGACGAAGTATAAACAATTGCATGTTGTGCTATGCTCTATAAGCGCTATCATTGACATCGTATCACTACAATCTTTTGAGCTTCTTCCCAGATGTTACTTCCTCAGTTTGCAGAGTTCTTCTTATGACCCCACCCCATAAGGAAAATTTGCGGACGCACTATTATCCTCCAAGCTACTGATTTATGTATGTGAAGTACTAAGCCATTTATCATAGTCTTTAATGAAACGCTGCTTTCATTTCGCACTTCCCTCCAAGTTTCGGAGAACGCTATTGAATAGAGTTTCAAATTTCATGGGCAAAATCTGTAGCGTGGACAGCCAGCCAACTTTTCCCAATAGAACGGAGGTCATCTCAAATTCATGCCTTCTTTCTCCTTCCTCGATTCCGTTCATTCTGACAACGACCTTGTCGCCGCGCTGGAGCAAACTACATCATCTACCCTTTTGGAAGGCAAACTATGAATTGATCAGATCTGAAGGTCGAGTTCGAATCCTTCTCCATGTCACTAATTTCATTAACTGCACGTCGCGGTTTTTTGAGTAGTCACGAGATGCTCGCTAATGAAGGGGAACCGCAATCGTCGATTTTTACTTATGTTGCGAACTTTGTTGAAGGTTTTCTGTTGGTGCAATTGATTTATAGTACACATCTGAAGCACAACTAAACGTCGGTGGCTCAGTGCTCCTCTTCCCCGTCTTTCCCAATCACCTGCCCCTCCAATATATCCTATTTTTGGGTATACATTGACTATCACAAATTGGAAATTCGTCTTAAACTGACTCTGTACTCTCTGCTGGAAGCGGTCTTCTCGCTACCCGCTACTTTTTGTTGTAGTCAATTGAACTGAGGCAACTTTTGGTTTTAAAAGCTTTGTAAGGGTGTTTTTGTACTGCAATCTACCGCTCAATGCCTACACGTTGGAATAGAATTCGGTTGGTTTATGACTGGGAAATCGACTGATTAGTTGTCCTATCCTCAATCTACTCGGAAGTTCGATAATTTTGTTTTACTGAAGCACGTTAATCTTAATGTTCTAAAGGTTAACGGTTTCTGTTGGCTACTTATCTTATCATCTAAATTTGCTAGATTTCTTTTTATGCATCAGTTATAAATATTGATTTGTCATTGTGTGTTGTAGCAGGGATGTAAGTATAATTATTTACTTGCCAGTTATCGCGAGATGTATTTGCGATGAATATTTCTTTTTTGATAACTCCTTTACTTATTCTTTTCTTGGGCGGTGTCTAGTGGCGCGTGGCTCACTATCAAATGCGTGGTCCGAGGTTTGAATCCCGAGTAATACCCGCCTAGAGCCATTTACAACCTTCATCCCATCGGGCCCAGAAGTTGGTACCAGACCTGTCTGGGAGGATACAGAGCCTATATTGTACTTCGACTGGTCACCGTAAGTCATTGTAGAGGCCAAACTAGCATTCAAAGTACCACTTCGTTTCTGAATAGAAGTTGAATGCGAATTCGCATCCCGAAGTGGGTTCGATTAACTTTTGGAGGCTATCGCTTAGGTTGTGCTGTGTAGGGGCGAATTTGGTGGGATCGAATCCCATTTCCCTCAGCCTTCAAATGCCAAGTTGTTATTCGCTTGTTATCCTGCAACCTCCGACGTTCCCATAGTTTTTCTCGTGATGTTGTTCACGTGCATACCATTGAATTTTCTATTTCTTTCCACACTCACTTCAGCAAATTCTCCTTGTAAAGTAATCAACAGAGGCAGATGAAGGAACAAAGAAAGATTTTTTAATTCTACCAAAAGATAGTACATTCCAATCACTGGGATGTCGGTTGGCGATGAAAGGTGAATATAAGTAAAGGCGCCATAATTTTGTGATTGCTCCTGTTCGTGGCATTATTATGAGGTGGATTCACTGAGAGACTTACTCCTACTGCCTACAGAGGCGGTATCTGAAGGGAGGAGCGATCAGAATTTAATCATTCAATCTCTTTTTCAACATAAGGACATTGAGAAACCTCATATTTAGATGAACGCAAAAAAAGCTCCCGAGTTTCCGACTTGCTCTTCCAAATTAAAAAATAAAACCCTGATTGGCAATTTATCACGATTTTTTGCCTTGACTATTTGCTGAGTTCTTTTCTTTTCTACAAGCTCTCATAATGTCCTGAACGCAATCGCTCGATTTCCATACTTCTGCACCGCACCTTCAAGTTTTACACTGACAATGTTTTTGGCAGATAACTGGTATTTGTTGGGTGTTGCAGTAGGAACGAAATTGTCGCTCGCGGCGAGAGAGACGCCGTGCGCGAAGGAATGTAGCAGAATGCAGCATCGAATAAGAAATGCAGGAACAAAAGAACTGACAAATATAGTTTCGACTTACAGGCTCCGACGAAGGCGATATTGCCGAAACGTAAGCCGTGTGGATAAAGTGTTATTAAAAATCTCGAAGGCTAATACAACCTACGACGGAAAAGAACTAAAAATAGAATCATATCAAAAGTAATATTCGCATTTCAAGTGAGCTGTATAAAGAACGCTAGAGCTGCTATCACGAGGCAAATGGTCCGCGACAGCCGCGTGCGGCGGATCGATTACACAAAACTGTTCCTACTGCCCGTCTCCCGGATTTGTTCACAGCATCGGCTCGACTGAGATTTGCCATAAAAAGGATGGCTTGTTGACAACAACATTAAGAGATGGCGAATCCCATTTCGTTTTCGTTCCAAATCCTCCAACCCATTTTATTTGAATTCTAGTGCCTATTCACTGTATTCCATGTGATTTTGCTTTTTGTACGTTTCATACTCGTCGTTATTTCTCTAGAGCTGTCATTTCGATTTTTTGTTGCCGCGACGCTTTGCAGCTGAGCATTTTACGATGTATTTATTCGATGTATTCGTGCTATTCAGGCGCCCTCATCCGTGACATGTCTTCCGAGGAGGGCAGGGCGCTCTATGGAAATCGGGAAATTTTGCCTCAAGCGCCCTCCACCTTAAACCCTCCCTCGATATTAATTCAGCCCAGTAAGATTGCTTATATTCTTTTGGACGCTCTTTCAGTATAAATTTCTACATTTTCAGGAACGAAGACTAATGAGTTCCTTGTCGTGCTCAAGTCAATATCGTTAAAGGGCTTCTTCAGACTTTGGGGCACCCTCATTGGACAGTTTCCACTTGCGTTCCTTCTTTCGGGTCTTATTCTTTGTTCGTTATCATGTAAGTTGTAGTCATCGTTGACTATTTCCCTTCTCCGTTCGGAATACTAAATTTTAATTCAACATGCCATATTGACTGCAAATTGTCTGCATGCCAAAGTATAGATGCTGGGGAATTCTCAATTCCCGTATTCGACATCAAACAGTCATCCTACAGGGGTCATAAGGAATGGGACATTAGTATAAGCTCCCAGGAAGTTTTCAGTACCATATTTTCACGTGATTTAGTAAATGAAAGCGTGTTAGTTTACTCCAAGCCACTATTCTGACAGTGAAGTTTAGCCAATCGGCACATGGGCATTTATAGTTAGTATTACACTGAGGATGGGCGGAGGTGGTGTAGTGGCAAGTGGCGCCCTATATTACACGCATGGTCAGGGGTTCGAATCCCGAATCGATGCCTGTCTAGGCCTACCAAGACTTCCATCCCTCCGGAGTCGGTGATTAGGTACCAGACTCGTCCGGGAGGATAAAAGCACTGACTTGTACGTCGGCTGGCCACCGCAAGTCATTGTATAGGCCACATACGCACTCATTACGCCACTACGAATCTGAATGGAAGTCGAGTGCGGGGGCGCATCCCTCGAACGGGGTTGATTAACGCCAAAAACTTGATCCTTTATTTATCCTTTTATTACACTGAGGATGGCAAAGTGCTGAACGTTCAATTTTCCTTGATCTTTTGGGTACTCAGACCAATAAAATCAGCCTTCAACCGAATTCGGCTGGCTGATGGCCAACTGTAATAGCAGCAGAATTTTGTCACCCATTCCACATATTGAAGGGCTTAGATCGTCCTGCAACGGTCCAAGTAGCATTCAAGGTGCGCGTAAAACATGAGAACAAAATCTTATGTTTTTGATTTGCTCAGCGGCCAAAATTATTTTACCAAACACCTTCAACACCTTCCCATTACTCTCTATAATCTGTAGTAGAATTGTCATTGTTTTAGGCGGGATTTTTAAGTTGCATTTACGGGATAATGTGCGGGATGGATACACTCCTCGCACGTCACGGTCTCGACTTGAAACCGACCTGTACAGGGAGTTTCTCGGCTCCGAGGGTTAGTCCACTTTTTCATTCATTCCATGAATTTTTTCTCATCAGCCTTGCCTTTCTCTTGAACGAGATGCCATTGATGCAACTTATTCAATTACAGGAGACCCTGCGATGACCACCGTCCTGATGTTGGCCAAGGATAACGGTTCCATGCACAGGCTCGACTACTTACAGGTATAGTATGCTCCGGTTCTACAGGCTAAATTCTCAGATCCTGACTCAAAAGTACAGCTAATCAAAATCTTTTCCAGTTCGTGAGCATTTTTACAGAAGCCTCTCATTAAAGGCGCAGTTAACGATAAAAATGGTTTCTGAGATTTCTAATGGTATGAATTGGAGGCCCCGCGTTATACTATAACTGCCGTTATAGGGTCTAAAAACATCGTGTATCGAGCGCAATAAGGGCCAGAGATTGATCGTGTGAATGCCGCACCCCTAGTGGTCGAGTTTCAACGGCATTGCAAGGGCTGCACCATTCACAGGAGGACCAATGTAGAAAGTTCAAGCAACTTGTCTCAGCGGCAGTGAAAGACAATTTTGAAGTTTTGCCTTGATGTAGTCACCTCTTTGCGTAATTACAACAACTGAAATCTCGTCCAAATCCCCTTCCATTCCATTTTCGTCATGGTATCTCGAACGACCTCAAAATTCAGTACTTTTTAATGGCCTTTTTTTTTNTTTTTTTTTGCAAAATCTGCGAATTTCTCAGCGCTTTCTTCACCAATGATGCACTGCTGCCGACCATTACTTCCACTTTTCGACCTTAAAAGTGTACCCCAGGGTTATCGTGAACTGCTCCTTTAACTGGAGGTCTACCGGATCAACTTCTTTTGAGTTTGTCACAGAATTGTTCCAAAGACGCTCGGTTTTTTGTATGGTTTCCGTTCTGCGATTGTGGGTTGGCTACACATGTACCACTACAGCCCAATGCAAATAAATAAAATCGAATTCTCATGATGAACATCGGCTGTTGCCTTGTTGTCTGCCAATGGATTTTGTTCTCCAATCACGGTTTATCTTTCTTGAAGGAGGCGGTTCAAACCATGGTGCACATCTCGAAAAACCTTTCCGCTACCGTATCCGATGGTCGCAATGTCAGCTACAAGAATTTTTGTGGTCACTATTGTGATTCAAATGTCGTCGTAGGATATTTCTTGGTGAGTGACAAAAGAGGAAGTTTCTTTTGTCAGTATTAATTCGATGTTTTTTTAGCAAGCACTCTATCAGAAGACGCTCAATCCAGAATCGATGACTCTGCAATTGACATATCCCATAGCGGATTTACGTGGCATTAAACTGCATTTGGAGCGCAACTTCTACGGAGTTCAGACAACCGCACAGAATAATATCACCAATATAGATTATGTAAAGGTTAGTACATCTTCACGAACCTCCTCTTATGGCCTAATCAATCCTGTCTTACACCCTGGCGTTCGTCTTACCTTCAGAATCGTAGTGCGTAATGAATACGTGTGGGGCCTAAATAATGACTTGGTGGTGGCCAGCCTACGTACAAGCCAGCGTTTTTATCCTTTCAGACGGGTCAAGTATCGTGTAACCGACTCAGGAGGGGTGGAACGCCTAGTTGACCTAGGTTGATATCGACCGGGTATTCGAACACGTGATAATGCGTGCGAGATAGTGCGTCACTTGCCGCTACACCATCTCCGCTTTACTGACAACTATATGCTATGCATCAAATTAAGCAAAGATGATTTTCCTTGTGTAGGGAGAACATTCTAGGATCCTGGTTGCTTCTGAATAATCACTCAGACCTAGCTCTACCTAACGGATGGTTGTAGTGTCACATACGCACGCAATGCAAATGAATTGCTCAAATCCGTGAACCGCATAAGCTGAGAAGGGGAAATCGCGGTAGCCTTTCATCAAACTGTTACAGCTCATCTCCATGTCATTCATGGCTGAAATGAAGACGGAAGCCGACACAGAGCGACTTGGTGCGTGGGAGCTGACCTTGTTCGATTTCTGCTACAATTACACAGCAAATAGTTACAACAAGCTAGAAATACAGGTAATTGACATTCTTTTCTGTGTTCATTGGTAGCTGTCCTGTAACCACTGAATTACCGGACTTACGGTTGTAGCAAAGTGGTTCAGAAGGCTGATAGGCTAGTGCAGTTCTCCCATGGTGTAAATTCAATCGTTTCAGGTGATTGGTGCTGAGATTGTAGACACCGAAATGAACAAGGACGGTCAAAAAATGTCGCCGTACTTTGCCACTGGTATGACTTACCTTACCATTTCTATTACCTGCCCTGGCAATCGCTGGACTTTCCTTCTCTTCGTGTTAAAGTTGTTCTGCCGCTTTTCTCCCTTCAACATTAGAACGCTCTACCCGGTTGGCCACATATTTTCCCACATGTCCCGCCCTCTAGAGGGGAGGAGGGACGGGAGGGCTTGGGTCCAGTCATCTACCATCTCTTATCCTTTTGTACCCTTACCAATCTTGAACGCCTGAGGTCTAAGGTGGAATCGTTGCTCCACCCTAATGAGCGTGGTCTGTTCCTACCACCGACCGTCAATGCTCGGCATCCTTGTTATCTTTCCTAACCACCAACCATCAAAATCTCGACACATTTCACTTCACTAGCCAAAGTGCTAAGGCAACACTGCCGAAACGAAAGGCGTTACAGATCAAGTGGCTCTCGCCTTCCAAGGCTCCTTATCAGCCCTTACCTCTTGCTATCAGCACTTGTTACCAGTCATCTACGTTCCATTTGAACCCCATATGCCCTGTTAAGTGTCAAGTTACCACTATTAACCTAGCGCTGGGTAGAGGTGGACAGGAATTACGAACTTCCGGTCAAACACGAGCACGCCGACACACACGTTCACGCACTCAAACTAACACACTAACCAACAGACGCCTTATATGAAGTAGAATTTTTTTCAAACTTTTTATGTTACCCCAAAATGGGGCATTTCTTTCTTGAATTGCATCGAATATTTTGCGAAATCGAAACTTTTCCCCAAACTAAGGTTCACTTCACTTTCACATTAGGATACGGATGTAGAACAAGTGTAACTTCAAATTAATTACTGGGCATAACGTAAGAAAAGCCTCTTTTTCAGGTTTCTCCATAATGTTTGCCTTTGTCTGCATTACCGTGAGCGGATCATCGCTCTACTTTGATCGCCTACGATGGAGTACTGTAAGTACCGCCTCGTTTTATACGTGGACTTTGCATCTCATCTGGACTTAGTTTATGTCTGTCGCAGCTTGTGAACGTGTTTGTCTTTGCGCTCTCATCTGGACTTAGTTATGTGCTTGCTGTGTGTTCATGTTGTTTTTTCCGTAGACTGAAAGACACTTCCTTCTAACTGCATATATATGTGCCTCGCAAAACAAGGTCTCGTTGTCATGATAATGCAACACTCATCATTTAATTTTCGTGAGATTTAGATTCTCGTGGCTGTGAGCTGTGCCATAGTACCGGTGCTGGCGATTACGACAACTTTCGGTCTGTGCTCGTTGATCGGCAACAGGACGAACTCGCTTATGCTCATTATGCCGTTCTTGATAATGGGAATTGGTTGGTAGTTCTAATGTTTACGCCGCCTTTGCGAATTTCTTACACATCCCTATATTGAATGATGCGAATGAGATAAGTTCATAGTTGAGAAAAGTATAGTGGCCATATCCCCAAATTGAGCTCTTGCTAACGAAACAGGGGCTCACTTTTCTATACAAATACTCAAGGATGATACGATACCTGAGCTGAAGACTGTGCATGTTGAAGAATGAGTAACTAGTATGTCCATATAGAAAAGAAAATTCAGTACGGCGCTCTCCTCTTACAGTAATCCGGCACGGTATAACACCATTTTGACACGCAAATTCTCACCGTCACATATAGGACTGTCGAAAAGGGGCCTTGGGCAAGGACACGGGGTGGGTGGTGAGGAACCTAAGGGATTACTATAAAAGCCGAGTGCCAGTACTGATTTTTCGTTTCCGTGTATACACAAAAATGAAACGCTGATGCTTTCAGCGCTTTAACACTGAAAATATGAAAAATTACAAGGCTGAAAAGTAGCGCTCTTATATTACGGTGACATCATATTACCAAAGTTGTTCGAGGAGTGTACACAGGGCATCTTTGGACGAGTGGGCTTTCCTCGATATTTTGTGCAGTTACGCTAGGGGTGTAGAACTTCTCCCCGAAAATCGCTCACGCCGCCGCACCCGATCACGCTTTGTGAAGGAAATGTTTGTATTCCCACTGAAAGGCTACGGTCGTCGCCGCAGAACCACTGCAGTGGGAATTCGCGGAGAAGTACCACTACCCGTTATGCTGGCCACGTGTTGACAACACGGAACAGTTTGCGTCCAGGGTCGCCAGAGCGGTAGCAGTATCGAACGCAATTTGTCGTGCGCTGCCAAACGTAGCTAGCAAACCGTCGCTCGGTTGGTCGGTTGAAGGAAAGGGGGACGAGTGCTACGAGAGACAGCAAAGAGCATCTTCCACCGCCTACGTGCGGCTTCGTAGTGGATTTAGTTATGTGCCTTTTACTCCTCTGGCATTGGAGCGTATAATAGTTCGCACGCAATTTTCAAAAACGCACCACCCTTGCTACCCCACCACTCGCCGTGTCTTAAACCCCTTTTCCAAGCGTATATAAGGGGGTTGAAAAATTGTGCATACAAATAAGGTTATGTTGTGAAATTAAATATATTGTCTACCGATATTCTGCAGAATAGGTAGGATGCTCTTTGGTGTCTTCCGATCTGTATCTGTACCATCACTAGAGTAAAGGAGGGGAGGGGGCATGACGGAACATTCGCGCCACTGTGCCTGGCGTATGGGTCCGGGAACATTTCCCCGAAGACGGCGTCGCGCACGCCGCACCCGCTGCGATGGAAGACTGGAGCGCGCAATTTGTGAGGTAGGGAGTTCTTTAATTATTTGAATTGGCTGACCGCTCCCTTCCAATCCAATGCGGTATTGATCGTCGCTAATATAGGAAGAGTCATTTTAATTAATAATTAAACAAGTCTAGTATACATAAAAAGCAAGAAAAAGAATTAAACAAGTCTAGTATACATAAAAAGCAAGAAAAAGAAAGATAAAAAACGATCAAAACCAATAAAGAAGAAAGGCAACCAACGAAAAATATTGCGTCATATCGATTGGTGGACGGCGGGGTGAGTACGGTAATTGCAGTGACATTTGCCGCATGCCGCAAGGGAGAATGCCGCAATCGGGAAAAAGTTCCGTTACCCCTGGCGTATGGGACCATGGCACCCATTGTTGGGTGCCACCATGTTTTTTCTTTTGTTTGCACGTTTGAAACTTATTTAATATTTTCATATTTATTAACAAACTCCATGGTAGTTATATTCAACATGGTCCACGTGAATGTTTTGCAGGAGCTTATTTATTACAAACATATATATTCAATGGAATTGTACTGAAAAGGTTGGGATACTTTGGCAAGAAGTGTGTGTGTCCTGGAAGCAATGGGATCAGTCCTTAGATTACCTGATTTGCTATTATGTGACCGCGCGGTCGATCTCTTCGTCCTGAATTTCCTTGGATGTTATACAAATTATTAGGCCACAGAAAGGAGTTCTTCCGAAGACCATGGCACCCACCGGTGGGTGCCAGTAGCGCACGAAAGGGAGGGGGCGTGGTCCCATAGGCGCGTCACGACGAAATCGGCATTGTCGTCAAAGGGTTAATCACCACTTCATGTTTAAATACTACCTTTGATTCTTACAGGAGTGAACGATTCATTTCTCACGACGCACGCTTGGCTCCGACAACCATTGCGACAACCAGCTGCGGTGCGATTGGGTAAAGTACTCGAAGAAGTTCGTTACTCTTTTAAACCCATGGCAAACATTCTTGCAAAAAAGTTTTTCAATTGCTATGTGGCCAAGTTGTTTTAGGTTGGCCCGTCGATCACTACTACAACCCTAACGAATGTGGTAACTTTCTTGATAGGATGGCTCACACCAACCGAAGGTTAACAGTTATCTCGAAGGATGATCTTTTTCACTTCATCTTCTTTTTAAACCTCTCTTAAGTTTTTCAGAAATATCGATTTTCTGTTTTGGTAGTGCAATGGCTCTCGGTTTCGCCTATATCTATACCGTCATAATTTTCTGTCCAATTCTTTACTACTGCTCACTGGAGGAGTCTAAAGAAGCTCATGAAGGTTGCTTCAGGCGAAAGGTAGGTGCTTTTCACTTACGCAGGCTGTCCTGATTCTACAGCGATTCGTAAAATGTCCTGCATAAACCTCTTTTTCCAGGGAAAGCGATTCTTTCATGCCGTTCTCCGAGGTTACAGTTGCGTGCTCACGGATCGTCGTGTAGCTTTAGCACTACTCACCGGAACTATTGTCTACTGGTACTTTGGTATCATGGGTACGATAAGCATTACAGCAAAGTTGGATACCGAAAAAATCTTGCCAAAGGACACTCCCATTCACAGGCCGAATCGCCTTGTGGAGAACATAGGTATGGCACTCTATCTATAGGCCCGTTCCCAGGTCTACCGTTCTAGAGAAATATTACAGTTTGGGCTGAGTACTATCCTGTGACGATCATCGTAAACAACCCCATAGACGTGCGCGACGTGAATCGACTGAATGAAGTGAACGCCTTCGTGGCTGAATTCGAGAATCTTTCCACTTGTCGAGGTAATAGGTGTTCAACTGCGAAACAAGGATATCATGAAATCCGGAAATTTCAGGCTCCAACTTTACGATGTTTTGGTTGCGTGACTATATCGACTACTATTGGGGAGTTGGCGTGAACGATTTTGATTTTTATTTTGATGCTGATGAATATCCAGACGAAAAAGAGTTCGGTTATAAGAAACTTCCTGGATTTCTGGGTAATCCGCTCTACAAGCATCACAAGGCCTTCCTCAATCTCGACTACAACCAAACGTAAGGAATTTTGAAACATGTCTTTTCTGTTACTTAATTATAAAAATTCAGTACCAGTGCTGTATTAGAACTCTTACTCTATAAAATGTCCATTGTCCTTAACATTCGACGATTTTAAATAGTTTTTATGAAATTTGAAGACCATTTTGTGCAGTAAGGCATATGAAGTATCTATCTGATAGCATCAAAAGTGGTTGTAGTCTCTATCAATCGTCCTGAACAACAACGTTCCAGGTTTCCACATTTAGAAAGTGTAGAATCGGTGGGAGCATGTTCATTGTCAACTTGATTCACGAAATCGGTAGTATGATGCATCTCCTGAATAGCTTTAGCATTTCTTTATTCTGAAATAAAAATAGCCACTTGTTCAAAATCGTTGAATCCCGTTGGCATCTTTCATAGTCCACGACCGGTCGCTAGCGACTGGTCGCTCGACTGGTCACTTGACTGATCGCGCCACTGGTCGCTCGATCGGTCGAGGAGGCCGCGCTAGTTATGGGTGCCGCCGTGGACGGTCCCGCGCGATCAGTCAAGTGACCAGTCGCTAGCGACCGGTCGTGGACTATGAAAGATGCCGTTCCTTTTTCTTAGCTCTCACATGGCGCTTACAAACGGGTTATCTCGAAAAAAGTGTTTTGCTTTTCAGGGTCTCGGTGCGCAAATTCTCGTTGGTCGTTGTGTACGAGAACAATACGTCATGGGACGATCGTATAGATCTAATGCTAAAATGGAGAGCGATTGTAGACAGGTGATAATACTATCGTACCGTAATAATACTATCGAACTATCTCTACTTGTGCTTTATAGATCAAAGGCTTCTTACCCCTTACACGTCCGAGACTGAGCTTGTCTTCGCATTTTTAGTGGCTTAAAAGCCGCAGTATCAGAAGCCGATCATGCGATGCCCCCTACAGAACTCTGCTCGATACATGGCTACCCTTAAACCCAATATTCTGTCATTCCTGTTGAGGTTGGCTCGTGCGAAGCGTTGAAGAGTATGGACAACAAACTAATTTGGCAGTAGTTGAAATTGTCGTCCTCATTCCTCGTACAGAAACAGTCTTACAAGTTTTCTATAGCATAGGGTTTTTGGCATTCAACGAGTACCGCGAGAGGAGCCTTGCATCTGATTCTCCGGGTCTCTGCTCCGCTGAGCTTCTGACATATGTCGACGGACGGCTCTTAAGATATTCTGGTTTGATTCTGTCGGGTGCCGAACGATTTTTTATCGACGTGATGGTATGCCAGATTTTAGACGAAAAAACTGAGGGGGCGACATATCCATCCTGCCTAATGTGGTTGTTTGGCTGGCAGATATGGCTCTTGAAGCCATCAGAGTAAAAGGTCCCACCATGAATACAATTGGTACCTAAGATAACTTTGCTTCTCTAGTATACTGGGAAGGCAATTCGATTGGTCACTTACGATATCCGTTTTACTTTGCGTCAATCAAAAACATCTATTTTTTGAGTGTGTTGCGATTCGTGCGATTCTGGGTGCGCGCGGCGAGTTGCGCGGCGAAATTCGGTGCGATTTGGACGACTACAGCGTTAACCATTGGAGCCCAAATTCGAAGTAAACTGGGTTAGTAGGATTGTCCGAACCTACTAAAGTACTCTACTCCAAGTTTATGCCCCAGTGATAGGCGCCGGAGTTGTTTGAATCATCGCAAATTTCGCCGCGCAATTTGCCGCGCGCGCCCAAAATCGCACGTCCCCCTCTATTTTTAGTCCCTCTAAATTCGATTGAGTTGACCATACACGTACGCATTACAAGGTTGTTTCCGCAGTAACGCATCCGAAATTTCGCCAGCACTGTTTTTAATTGGTCTTTTTTCCGCCGACTCTTTAAATTTGGATGGAGTGGTTCACTCCATCCAAATTTAAATTTTTTTGGACGGCGCATGTTTGTGTTCTGGACATTCTGTTGCGTTACCGAGTTTTCCGTTTTCCAAGTTGCAGTCTACAGCACCTAAGATTTATTAGGTGCTCCTAACACATGCTCGTCCAATATCCATTTTTGTTAGAGCTAAAAGGATTTGAAATTATGCAGGCTGAATTACCTAAACAACCAATAATACTCAAAAATGATGATGCGGAACTGTAAACAACATATAGATGTACAACATGCGGTGAAGATCTAGATGGGAGAGAGTTAGAGCGTCGCTTTTTTGAATCACTGCACGCTAGAAAAGGAGGGTAGCCGACTTTAGCTGCATTCGAGCCTTAGAAGGAAGGCAACAGGTAAAATGTAAGTGCGGATAATACCGCTATGAAAGTACAGAAAACTAGTAACCTTGACGTTCTTCGAGGAAAAAGAGCGGATTACGCTTTCCGCTTTTTGGTGGTCTAGCTTGACCCCATTTAGGGAAGAGGGCTAAATTGCGGAGTTGTCTCATTCAGTGAGACGACGAGTTAATGATAAGGGGTCGTCGTCGTAGACGAGGATACTCCGCCGCAGCGCAGTTAACACTTCAATGGTGTCTTAGAAGGGCATGTATACATGACAATATTATAAAGTATATCTACAAGACAGCTCGACAGTTGTGTTTCTTGTTGAATGAATGTAGTCGCATCGTAGCTGCTGTGAGGATCTGCGAGCTTCTGGCAGTTGAGACGAAGCACCATCGGGCATCATTGTGAAATAGATAGAATTAGTACTACAATGAGAATAATAGCACGAATTTGGAGAAGATGATTGCAAAAAGTGCTTCTATGGGTAATCTTTTCACACCTGTCAACGTTCACCTGGTGGCCAGTACTGATCAAGCGGGTCAAGTTTGCTGCCATGACACATTCTTCAGGAGAACTCGCACATAGTAAAGATCGTCGGAGTGACTGCCATATCAACGCAACCAATCAAATGCTACTGCTTTACCTTGGGCGTAAATCCCTCGCGGGGGTTTGTGTGGATGTGGGCAGCGGGTAGATATTGCTGTCTTATTCAATCGATTTATCAGTCGAAGTACTTATATAGTTATGCGTAAATACTAGAGCGTTAAAAACCCAAATGTTTGGATGAATAGCAACTGCAAGCAGTTAGTCACTGAATAGAGTGAAGTACGATCAAATCAGGTTTTTATTTTTTTCTGTTTTTTGAGTATGAGTAAATTCGAGAACGCTATCGAAGTGAACCATGCTATTGTCTTAAAGATAACCCAACTACCAGGCGGCAGGCCGCAGCCCTACAGTGGCTGGTGTGAACGCAGGAATGAGTGACTGGTATCTTTCGATACTTTGGTTGCTTTATAGGAGCTATAAATTCCATGTGAAGCCAAAAATGAGAATGGCGGGTGGTTAAACACTCGTTTGATCGTTTCTTGGTTACACAATATTATAAATAGTGATGCTAAGCGTATTTCGGAAGATGATTGGCCAATGGTAGCTTTAGGCAACTATTTTTCTGACTTTATATTTCAACAATTAATCATGAACATGATTAATATTAAAGATTGGTGCACGTAGTGTTACCATGTTGCTCGGCTCACCCGACGTCTTAAAAACTTTAGCTGGTCCACCAATACGCCACATTGTGTATATTTCAGTTGTAGGCTTAGGAGGGGGGGGGGGGGGGGGGTTGTTCGATGGGTGTTAATGTTCAAAAAAAATTCCTAAAATTATTGTGGATTCTTTGTACGTTATAATGATACCTGTTTTGATTGCCTTGAGGCCCAGAAGGAAGGTCATTTCGAATACTTCCCTGATGGTTCTGGGTACCGAAACTGTCTTTGCTGTTGTGACAGTTTGGGCTCCAACGATGGCTCGGTCCTCTTACCATGACCTTCTTTTCTGACACATAGCGATACATGGTGGTTTTGACCACATCGCGTGCAGTTTGCTTTGTGACATTCAAAACTGTTATGGTTGGGTGAGCAGCACTTCCAACACCTATTCTCTTCCATTAATATTATTCGTCGATGGCTTTGATCCGTAATGGATCTACATGCAAGGGCTAAGTGGTTACTCCTATGGCAAAAAATGCACTTATAGTGTCGATTTTGGGGCGCGAGTTGGTCGCCATATAATGCCCTTTGATGGAGCGATTACCTACGGCATGACCCAGCCTACCCTCAATGTATTGCTTAGCGGTAATCTCTCCCTTTAACTGATTCACTAAGTCTTCTATTGTAAGGCTATCTTGAGATTGCTCCTGGATCAGTATAGGCTTTACAACATCACGTGGAAATTTTGACAATATGGTTACGCGCCATAATGGATCACAGGTTGTTCTTGCGTCGTAGCCTGCTGATATCATTTGATGGGTCAAAAGTTGTATTCGGTCGAAAATTGCTAAGCAGCTTTCTGCTGAATTCCCAGCTGGCGTCAAATTCACCAACTTGCGCACTATTAGGGCCCTGTTTACGAAAAGGTTACCATAATTATTTTGGATAGTGTGATCTAGCCGTTCTTTGTTTTCTGGCACTAGTTCTGTCCCCACTGAGAGACAGTTCCTTTGCGGGCTTATTTGCGCCACACTTCTCCCTAGCGTGGTGTTTGATGGGATATTGTCCGAAGTGATTCCGGTATTCCTCCACAAGTTATCTTCTAGGCTAATATTTATAGATCCCCTTTTTTCTACATCAATCGATTGCGAGCTTTGGGCGCTATGGGAGGTATAGCCTAGCTCAACCGCCATTCTGTCCCTAGCACATCTCACCTCATCTAATCGTTCCTCGAGCTTGTAGCCGAGCTCGTCCGCATCGGTCATTATTGAGTGCATATGGGATTCTTCCTCGATTTGCTCGATTTCGAGCAGTAGGTCCTGCCTTTCAGACTTATTTTTGCATGCTTTGTATTCCTCTCTTACCTCATTGTAGCGCTTTTCTAACTTTTCTTGTCCCTCTTTTATTAGCCTGATACCGCTTTGCAGGAGCGCAATAGTAGACCAACATTCTTCGTAGGCGTCCTTATCTACAGTGGGGAATTCGACCTTGGCAGTGTAGGCTCCATAACGTGCTACCAAATTCTTTAGGGTGTTAGCGCTTGAAATGATGGGCTTTCTATGGAAGTAAAGTGCCATTATTCTTGTGTTTTAGTTAAACTCTGTAATGTTTTGTTACTTGTGGATTTATGGTAGAATCTCGTTCGATTCTTTTTATTTTTATTGACTCCTAGGTATTTATAATTATTGACTTTAGCTGAGCAAAGTTTGTTTTGCCTCTTATGAATTACGGCTTATGCAGGCCGTGGCACCAAAAAATATGTTGTGGCTCTTATGATATGAAACTAATTTTGGCCGATGCCCCCAAAATATGTGGGTGGTCTAGTAGGTTTATAGGAATCCGGTGATTTGAGCAAAGAATTCAATAAATAGAATATAAGTGCGGACGTTACGGCAATAAAGACACGAAATAATAGTATTAATAAGTCCTTAACACAATACGGAACCTACGTCGTGTCCTTGACGTTGTTAGGGGAAGCAATGCGGACCACAATCTTTGATGGTTCCGCATGACCTCGCACCACTTAGGGGCGTGGGTTAAGTAAGGGAGTCGTCTCAGACAGTGAGACGACGAGATAGTGATATAGGGTCGTCGCCGAGACGAAACTATTGGATGGTCGATTCTTACCACATCTCAGCTTTTTTGCACAAACTAAACATCTCACCCTCCGCGGAGCTCCTCTCCTTCGTTGAAACCGATTCTTTTTGACTAAAGACCATCTTTAAGCACGAGAAATTCGGCTACCCTCCTGCTCTGCGCTCTCCTGGAAATTCTATTTCAATTCCATCATTCCATATGACTCTTGTTCATTGTGAGCTGATTCATTACTAAATGAGCCAAGATGAGGTCATCACTTGCTAGGAATGAAAAATAGAATGGTTTCCATATTCTGTACATCGTATTTTCTCTTCAACTCCCTGTTTCCAGATATCCGAACCTCAACGCAAGCGTTTGGAATGTAAATGCTATGTTTGTTGATCAAATGTTGAGCTTGAAGTCCCTGACATGGCAGGTGAGTAAAAGTACCCAACTTTGGGAATTACGATTTCCAAAATGTTACTCTTTTCAGACATGTCTGTGTACCTTGTTCTGCATGGCGATCGTCTGCGCAATTTTCATCCAAAATCCTATATCCGTTATCATGGCGACTACTGCGATTGCATCAATCAGCCTCGGTGTTATGGGGTTAGTGATTACCCTCGTTCTCCCTGGGAAGTTCTGATAAAGTAGCTCGCAAATCTGTGGGCTGCTAGGNTTTCCGCATCTAATGCATTCAACTTTCAGATACCTCTCATTCTGGCATCTTGACCTCGATCCCGTTTCTCTTTGTGCTGTACTGATTAGCATCGGCATGGCCGTCGACTTCGTTGCTCACACAACCTACCACTATCAGGTATGTCCTAATTACCTTCCATTTGCTGCAGTTAACGCTGGAGGCTGTGATGTAGTGGTTCTCACATTTTCACTTGAGACGCTGTTCCTGCTACTGTTCCGACAAAAATTGCAAAGGATATGTTGCTATTGAGGATACTTCTTCCGTTGTTTCGACCGAAACCACGCCGGAGAATTGCGAACATACCCTCTCCCTCATAAAAATTTCATCGCCTTGCTTTCGAATTTATCGATGAATCAAGGTAGCCCGTTCTGCTAAGCGCAGAGAGACACCGCTGTCACAGTGTTTCTCTGCGCTGCTTCTATTGGTTCAAGTATTGTAGTTCTCGCTGCAAATGGGAACTTTTTTGGTCTTTTTGGACATCATTTCTACATCTTTGCACTTTGTGATTTCGCGTTATACCGTAGAATTGAAACTCTTTACAATCTTTAACTAACTTAAAGCGGCACATTTCATCACAGTGGGCTTGGATCACATCAACTTATGTGCATTACCCGTCTAAAGTAATTGTTTAGTATACAGTATTCGTGAGATGTCTTACTGTGTTTAGTACTTTCTGTTATGCTTACGACAATATCTTCATCTTTGTCTGACTGCTTCCTCGTTGGAGGGTTACATGGGGTTCCATATAACACCTTTCACAAGTCTCCATCACTGACTTTTCTATGACCAGGAACGGCGAAACTATCAACTACACTTACAAATAACAGTCTCTTCTCAAAAAGGTAGCTGCGGTTTATGAAGAATACATTCATCGGCTTCTTTCTGGTAGTACTATTCGTGCAGACGTTGCGCAGCGATAGCCGGTGTGCTATGCTATTTGAATACGTTTTGGATGGTCCATTCCCCATTAGCACACCGGCTCAACTACTTGAATTTATCGTAGCTCACTAATACATATTCGATGTTTCTCACCATCTTCTCGAAACCTCTTCAACGATCGTCAATCATCCCGTTTTGCAATATTCCCTTCTCAAACCTCAAGCAGTTCCAGTTTGCGTCCGTTGTAGAGACGGTCCGTTCTCCTGCTGTAGGAACGACCCACTCTCCACGTGAACTAGAGCCAATATTGCCTTTGGAAAAAGAATAATGTGTGCATAAAATCAAATTCGTTCCAGCTATCATACCGTGAAGCTGTTAGGAAAGGGCAAGAGGTACGAATCGATCTTGACACACCGTACAGCAGAATACGGCACACAATCAGCAACATTGCTTGGCCAATGTCACAAGCCGGCATTTCTACTGTTATTTGCATCCTTCCCATCGTCGTTCTACAGGTAGTTGAATTTGGCATTTTTTAAGTAGCGACTTCTTTTTGTTGTTTCTGGAATCTTCGGAACCGCGTACCTATTTGCAATAGCCCCTTCCACATCATGAGCTCTATACTTGATGCAAACAAGTACTCATTATTTTCAACGATCTGTTTTGTACTCATTTAATGTTCATCTTGCAATTTTATTTTATTGTAATGATCCGGTGTGTGAATATATTTCGTTATATTCAAGTAAGAAAACACGCTGTTCCGTTCGGGACTGTTTGAACACTGATAATTCCTCGGTTTCAGAACTACATACCGTTGGTATTTGTTAAAACCATAACTCTAGTGGTTATTTGGGGGTTATGGCATGGATTGGTGCTCTTGCCTGCATTTCTTTCTCAGGTACTGATTAAACGCTCTTAACCTTGATGTTTGCTTAACTTTTTCTATATTTTTCTCCGATTCAGATTCCATTACGCCTTCTGAACTTCAACTGTTATCGGGTCTTGGTAAACGCTCGAAATGAAGTCGCTGGTCAGGAAATGTTGCTCCTCGATGGTGACGCCATTCGTTCATGAATTTCTAGCATTCTGTAGTCTTCACCGGTTGCATTTTTGACTCCACCTCCTCCCTCAGCACTGCCAGGTTCTAATTCATGAAGCGTGATAATTTCCATTGCCGTAACGCTCTCACATCATTGCGAGACGAGCCCCTTCATTTACAATCAACCCCTTTGTCCCACATATCTTTGTGTTCCTTGTCACTAATACACCTCCCATCTATGAGAAAGCCTTTTCATCGCCCCAACATCCTTGGCAGGGGCTAATGGTAGGAGAACGTTGATTGTCTGTGATCTAGAGGCGATCTGAACGATATCTTTCTAACCCCTCCAACCGAAGACGGCCTTCGAATTCAGGGACTCAATGGGCATGCCCTACTTACAAATTTTGAGACAGAGTATTATTATACGATTTTTGTTTCTTGCCTCTAGTAATTTGTACATTTCTTTGACGTTCGACAATCTTAAGATTTGCTCAAGGTGAACCCATGTTCACAATACGTTTACTAGAATACCCACGGGTTCATTTTAGCGGATTTTGGATAGATTAAAGGTCATGTTAGTAATCACTTTATCACCTTCAATCTCGATTGCCGAACGCAACTAGGTGGTACTGCGTAGCAGTACGGGTACTGTACATTCTCATATTGCATTATGTATGTATGTAACCTTTATGAGACACTGAATGCCGCTCTCAGAAAAATTTCGTTTTTCATATGATAAAACAGCTAGGGATATTTGATTACCGTCCAGTGGAATTTGAAATGCAGCATTCCAGTGACTTGGTCAGCTTTAGCGTCAGCTACGATCTTGTCAACGTTGCCATACGGCACGACTTTCGTGCACAGAAATAAAACGTTTCAAACAATTGTTCCGAAAACCGACACCGCAACTCATTCTTTGTAAGTGCTTGTGTATGATACGAGTAAGGAAACTTTATTGTAACCTGGAAGACCATGCAAAGCACGTGCTTTCACCTCTTCATGTTTCAGAGTAGCAGCAGAAAAGTACCGAGGAGTAGGGACGTGGTCCTTCTTTAGAACAGATTCTTTATATCCGTATGCATCGAATAATGGGCAATGGTTAAACACCATTTTCATTACAGCTACCTGTAAAGGCTGAAGTCAATGTGATTTAGGCGGAAAGGTGGCGCCTTTTAGTAAAATTAAGGTCAGTGGTGACTAATTTATCCTAATGAATGACGAAACGCCCTGAATGCGTGTGATGCAGAGTCAACAGTGCGTAATAGCGGTTAAAACAGAAAAGGCAATGTCCACTTAAGCCCCGCCTTCAAGGAGCAGCGGAGGTGACCGCGGGTTCTGGCATATGTCAGAACACTGATAGTCGAAAAAAAAACCTCTAACATGAGCCGTACAGTTATCTATACTGGTACATCACTAAAATTCTCATTTTGCAGGTAAAGAAGATTGAGTGATAACTTTTAAAATTTCCTGTCAATTCTTAATGCAATCGTAGCTTAACTGTGTGATGACCTAAGCCGACAGTCAAGCCAGTCGTAATCGTTTCCCGCTTCAAGTGGTGGAGCGATTTCAATATGCCTTGTTTCCATTCACCGGGATATGAACATTAATGCTTCAGGAGATTCTTCACGGGTTTTGGAACTGAAATTTCCTGAGCTGATAACTCTCAAGGACTGTGCTCAGCCCTGCCTTCATATCGATAGGAGTGAAGGCAGTGCTGAGCACAGTTCTTAAGGTTAGTCTAACAGTTTGTCACAAGAGTTGACCATTACAGAGGCGAGCACGAGGTTTTTGTGATTTGTTCTTACGTTGTTTTATTCATTTGACTTGTTTGTTGAAGTAATGTTCGTCTATAAAGTTTGGATAAAGTTTTTGGCGTTAACCAGCCCCTCTGAAGGATGCGCCCCCGCACTCGACTTCCATTCAGTAGTGGTCTAATGAGTGCGTACGTGGCCTGTACAATGACTTGCGGTGGCCAGTACTAAAAAGGGGCAAAAGAGTGTGTCGCAGGAGTACATAGTGAGACTGAAGCCAGATCAGCGGCACATTTATCTTGGACCCTAGTCTTATTATCTCTATCGTACCTAATTTGACCTTAGAATTGGAACCTATGTACACAGAACAATGCTGCGAATTGTTCGTCGTAGGACAAAATCCCGTTTACACACCTTAGCAATGCTGCGTTTTTGCAACGAACCAGAAGCAATCATTTCCCAAGTCGTGAAGTATAGTACAAAGTGTGCATTTATGCAAAAGAACTGGAGGCGGAATTTTGGATATGCCATGAAGTTGGCGTTAGGCATACTCAATGGCACTTTATCATTTTATGAAAAGAGTCTTTGTTCAATTTTACTCTTAGATTTCACAGAAAATCTAAGAAAAAATTGGGTTCTGATCTCCTGATTTGCTAAACAGCAACAAGCCTTTTGCATGAGCTCTGTGATAGGCCCCCCACAAATAATGCGGTTTTAAAAGTACCACTCGGTCAATGGACTATGAAGGAGTAATATTTATTAAAGAGACACATACTTCAGTAACAGACAGAAGCCGCAAACGAAATGCTGTGAAGACAAACATGGAAAACATGCAAATTAAATACAGGAGAGGCTGTTCGCAACAAACTTTTACAGATCATTCTTTGCAGACATTGCAAGTAGACATGATCTGCAGCATTAGCATGTCTAAAGCTAATATATCATAATTATGTTCATGTGATAGTCATAAACTCTCAAATAGAGCATAGATCGGTGGTGTACCAATAACGCAAAAAGAAACAACAAACATGAGCAACTGGAATCGAAGGTAGAACGCATTTCAAGTTTTCTCACGATCGTCTGAAGAAAGTTAAGGCCACAGTGAAAAGGAATGCATAAAAAGAGTCATACAAATAGGCGAAGTAGGTCTCAACTGAAGATCATAAATAATTTCACATTGAGGCATTCAATTCTGACTTATAGATGGATGCCCTTGCGGAAGCGGCTGCTCGCTCCCTTCTGGTCTGTGCAGCACAACGATTAGAGTACTCCCTACGCAATCTGAGCGCGAATATGTCCGCCTTTAATGTTTGAATTCCATCTCCGACCAAACGTATCTTTTTGAACAATTCGATTACTTGAGCCTAAAATTGAAACTAAGGCTGTTCAATAGAAACAATATCGATGAGGGAGAACCTTGTGGGGTTAAAAGGATGCTCAAAGGTTTTTCTCGAGCTGCGCAGGTCGTTCTTCTTTGGTACGCCTAGCCTTTCTTGTCAGTGGACAATGGAAGCATGACCGTGGCAGCACCAAGTAAAGCACAAGCTTTTTTTATATTTGACGTGATCGTATGCATTCCGCTGAAAGTTTTGCTTTTTTTGGGTCCTGGTCTTTCGAGATGGTGATGCAAGAGCCTAACCGATTGCGTTCAGGAGCTTATTCGACTACCAGTTGGATCGCCCAGCTAACGCCGGGCTCTCCTCCTTATGTAATAGGGACAAAAATTGGTACAAACAATCCGGGATTTCCTTTCGATGAATATAAAATGAAACTATTTCATTCTAATAATGACTTCCTCGGATACTTCCAGTTGTTCCGTGATCTTTCTCCAGGCCGGATTACAGGTGAATGTAATGAAGAGATCTGGTTTTCCGTACTTAGATACAATGGCCATGGCATCTTGATAAATATGGATCATTGCACGGGGTGAACCTGTGAACGAAGATGGCAGAATGACTCGTCTAACATCCGCTGGACCTGCAATGTCGTTTCACCGATTACATAGTCAGCGAGACCGCGGTAACTGTCTACCCTGAGTTCGGCTTGATGAGTGCGATCATAGTTCAGTCAGTTCTATTCAATCTCGGCATAACTGTCCACTATGAACTGCTGATAAAGTTTTCCCGTGAAGTGGAGAGGGTTGAAATCATTTCTTGCAGCTATCATACTGGAATAATATTCCTTCTGCTTTATTCTAGCTCGACGTCTCTCGGATGGATTCTTGAGCATATTCGGTGCCACCGTAATTCTCCCCGAGGGAATAGTATTGGATAAGTTAGAGTTAGAGTTCGCATTCAGGGTCAATTACCCGGATTGTTTGCAATCCCCCGCCTCTTAGATGGACTGCAACACTATACTCTGCAGTCACACCCCATCGTTGCCACCGTAAATCACGGCTACTACATTAGCTATAGGAGCAATGTATCGAGGGCGATCTACATTTGTGGGTGTTTCGAACACCATCCTCACCGCTTTTGCCGGTCTTCCTTCTCTGGCAGTGCACAGTTCTTCCTCTACAGCCACTTCATGATGCATCTTGTATGCCTGTGCGAAGACGTTAATTCGATGCAGAAGTTCACCTAACGATTGAATAGGCCGAGGGTTACAAATTGTATTAGCTGGGTTTCATATCCTTTCCTCTGCTGTCATGGATGTATCTAGAATGTATACCCCGCCATTGGCCATAGCGGTGGTCAGGTATACATAAGTGTAAGTGGGGTTGCCCACTTTCAGGGCGCACAGGTCCTATTCTATGGTAAGTCTGACCATGTATGCGAAAACAATAGGGACCATCTCCACGCGGGGTGTACAGCTGTGCACCCACAGAGGCGAAAGCGAATGCACTACTGTAGTTGCGAGTATGCTCGCGGAACTCTTTTGCTTCGTTGGTTTCCTTTGCTTGAACTCGAACGAGGTTGATAAGAAAACAAC